GGGGGATGTGAGGCGAGAGAGCTGTGAAATCCCATGGGGGCTGTTAGCCGGCTTCAGGCTGCTATAAAGCCCGTCAGTCAACCTGTCACTTTGATTTTCTGCAGTTTAACTATATGATATAATCCAGATAAGCAGTATGCACTGGGAGAAATGTAAGTACAAAACATCATTGCTGTTATATTTTTAAAAAATCTCAGGAAAACTCTCGCATTGCAGATTGTCCTATTTTATGTAAATCTGACAAATTGACTTGAATAATAATCTAAAATCGGCTTTTTATTTGTTCGTTTTGAATTGTTCAAATGGGAATTTCGCTTTTTGTGTCCGTTACATTTCTTTGATGAAGTAAACACAAAAACATGAACTTAATATTATGTTCAATATAATGCAATCCAGTACGATACATACAGCCATTGTGGAGCGTAACTGTTCTGTCTTTACTCCAAGTTATTTTAGAATAAATATCTGGTTGGAAACGTGACAAAACGTGTTTGATTTTCCAATAATTGTAATTAATTGTCAGAATTAATTTGACAGTTCGCTATCAGAAATGAACTAACGGATGGATGTGCACAGTGATCAGCGTATTACATGTCATTTAGAACATTTACTTTGAGTTCTTTAAATGACCAACAGAAGGAAAGGACAGTTTCAGGATCAGCACTGAAGCTGTTGCGTCGGACTCTTTTGGAAAGAGGAAGGTGTTCATTTTGATGTTGGCTGTGTGTTGCTATAAGACTGTAATCTTGATATGCAAAATGGCAGCAGGCTTCTCCACCGCTGTAAAACACTGCACAGCTGTGGAGCTTCCTCTTTTTTTTTGCTGGCATGCGCTGATTATTTATCCGTCTGTGTTTGTTCATGTGTGATTGTTTAAAACACAACATCTTCTGTTCATTCAGGTTTCCGTTCAGAGGTCTGTTACAGTTATTTAAAGTTTGCATTTATGGCATTTATTTCCTTGTGGTTTTTTTGGAACAGATCATTCTGTATGTTGGGCACACTTTTTCACAATTTAAGTTCTTTAAAAGGATCTCTGTACGACATTCAGAGCATTAATATTAATGATAATAAATTGGTTGCTGTTGTTTGCACTGTTAGCGTTGTTTGCACTGTTAGCGTTGTTTGCACAGTTAGCGTTGT